AACTCATCATGAAAAATATATGAAGAACTACCTACTATGTAGGATATAATTATAAAAGTAAATATGGTGATCATATCATTCTGTTTTATTTCATTTCCTTAACAATTACCTCTTACATTTTTTCTCATTATATACTTTTTTGAGTGGAGAATGTGTATAGATATCATCAGCAGATGTATCTGCATAGAGACTATTAGCTGTAAACGATTTTAGAGAAATTGAATAAGGTTAATGTACACATATACGTAAACTAAAACCTCCCTTAGTGGACATCTCTCTATAGTGGACACTGATTATAAGTTCAAACAGAATGTAAAGATGATTATCATTAAACCCCCTCCCATATTAGAAGCCCCCCGGGGCTTCTGTTAGACCTTGCAAACTTTGGCCGGATTTTGCTGGGAAAAATTGAAAATTTTGCTGGATTGATCCTTTAAAGGGAGCTTCTAATAGGGGGAGGGCTTCTAATATGGGAGGGGCTTCTATTACGGGGAGGGGTTTACTCATTCAAAATAATGACTCTTTACTGATCGGACGGTCGAAAGAAAAAGAAATACATGATAATGGAAAAGAAAGAACAATTCGTTTGTCTGGACTAAGAGAGAGGGCTATATCTTCATTCTCTATAGGTTCATGTTCGAATTGGAGATCAGCAGTTGACAGCTGGTGAATATGTCGACATTGATTCTTCTATCCCAGCTTTTAACGAATGGGATGATGATGAACATCTGAAAGTTTTGGTTCAGATCAATGAGGAAGAGAATGACAATAATGAACCTGTTTCTGTAACTGAAAAGTCATCAAACTTGCCTGAAGTAATGGAGATGATGAGAAAGCTTCATCTTTTTGCCTCTACCCAACAGCCTCAGCTACATAATCTCATCTCTGATCTTGAATCGCACTTAACTGACATTTATCTATACTCGAAAGCAACAAAACAAAGTTCTATCAAGGATTATTTTGACACTTGTTAATTTTTTTATTTTCAAAAAATATAATACAAATATCGAAAAGTAATAGTGTTCTATCCGATTATCTTAGTCACTAATACTTCAAATGCCTAGAAATATGTATATTTTCTTGAAGAAAGACTTTTTTTCTAGAAAACACATAATCTCCCTATAGTGGACACTTTTGAAAAGTCCGAAGGATGTCCACTATAGAGAGGTTTTAGTGTAGTTTCATCATATGATTTAATTTTTGAAATTATATGTTCTTCCTTATAAATATATACTAACAAAGTATAAAAAATCTATTTATTCAAAAAATACAGTAATAATTATAAGGTATAACTTTAACTTATAATTTGAGTGAGATTGGCTGAAACTAAGTCATTCAAAAAAATATTTGCTTGTTTTATCAAAGGTACATGTGGCAGAATGTCTGAGAGTGGAATTCTTTAATATTTAGAATTTTAAACTCTATCGATTGGTTTTATACCCGAGTTAAACGCCGACGATAGTGTGCAAGAAGGTACTTTACTAGTATTCTCAATGAAGTTCTTCTAATCCTTTTTCTTTCAATCGACTCGATTATTACTTTATCTCTATTTTTTATTATTCCGTTAATTCTCAACAAAATTTACAATTTGTCTGTTATGTTTCTATCATTTTTTCAATTCTCTGTGTTACCTTTTCTATGTCTTACTTTCATCTAATATCTTGATTATCTCTTCCGTTTGAAATGTTTGAAAAATTTATTCAAACACAATCATTGTTGAATTAACTAAGTACTTTAGATAGTTCGAGTGGAGAATTTCAAAGTTTATGAAACTTACTGCAAAACGAAGATACAAAACACGATGATTGTCATCTTCTTTGGAGTAAGTTACATTTCTTTTTATAACTAAGCTCTATTCAATCATCTGGTGGAATAGTTTTCCTTCAGGAAACGATGTCATATTTGATTGAAATACACTCTTGACAATAACTATTGGTACATAATTATTTGTTGCATATTAATCTCGGATGTAAGGAATATATTAACAGTAAAAAGTCTATGAAAACAAATTCAATTAAAAAATGTCTTTATTTACGCTAGAACATCGGACAGATGTTTTCATTTATAACATGCTATATCAGCTTATAGCTAATGTGTTGATATATATTAGGTAGCATTCATACTACATAAAACTTCAATGTAGCATCTTAATGTTATGTTGTTCCAACCATATTGAAAAAAATCCATGTCGCTTATTTTGCACATGGAGATATATAAGATTACGAATGAAGGTGGCAAAAATTCTATGCGAAAAGATTAAGAAAAATCTCAGTTAATAAAAATTTGGGAATGATTTTTCTAGTCAATATTATTTCGTCTCACGAAAAGTTTTCTTAGTTGTGTCAGATTCAGACACGACTGACATGTTACATCTCGATATAGAGTCGATAATAAAAATAGTTACATGTAAACGAAAATTTCTGTTTTAAAATCAGTAAAGCTGCACTTTATCTTTGCAAAAAATGAGAAAGACCATACATCTTGATTATTCATTAACTATTGAAAAATATCGTGCTCTCTTATCATTATTTTCAAGATATTGTCAGGTGAAATACCAGAACATATTAATGAAAAGGAATTGCTGTTAATATGAAAGTGTACCTGTATCTAACCGTTTATAACTCATTTCTTGATGTAAAGTTACGAATAATAGTATAGATATGTTTATCAGTTAATCATGTTACCTGTATGCGCGAATATTAATCAATATATATACGCCAGGGTTCCTTGTGGGATGTAAGTTTTTTGGTAGACGTCCCATCGAACGGAATGGGATCATAGGTGGTGGAGCCCCTACGTCTGGGAAGACTCAAATATTTGGAAAAATTTAACAGATCTTATCCTGGGCTTATACTTAGTAAGCGAAAACTCTTTGAACAAGATGACATTCAGTCAGATGTTAAATACAACCAATGGTGGGGTGGGGGTTGGTGGAAAATATCGAAAAGAAAAACATGAGACAGGAAAATACTGAAAAGAGCATTTTACTGCCCCAAAAATAACACTGAGGGTGTATATCTAGACCTGGCTATAGATGCTGGTTGGGGTTCGTCTCTGCGCAATATTGAGCCACACTAATATCAACAACCACACACATATCCACGTTCATGCTCGTACCCACACTCATACCCTGTAAAATTTCTCTGCCGACTCCGTTCTAACAAAAGTGTTTTTTTTCTATTTTTTTTGGAACTTGATGACGTTCAGTGAATTTTATATTTTATTTCAGCATAGATATATAGTCCTGAACCATGCTTTTTGGACGATTTTGTTTTGAGTATAAATATCTTACAAAGTTAGCTTTCGAGGCGCGGCTTTCGTCAAAATTACAGGCATCGTCTATACTATACCTACAGGAAATTTTAGTCTTAAATGTTGAGTCATAGTGAAACTGAACATATGAAAGGAAAATGAAGAAAAGAAAATGAATGAACGAATAAAAGAGGAGCCTATGTATTAAATTGGTTACACGTGAATAGTTTTATCTTACCGCAGATATAGAGAGAAAAAAAATCTTTTTCTCTGCATGATCTACCTTTATTTTTTCATAGACAGATTAGAAAAGAAGAGTCGATATAGATTAAATGCTTCACAAGTAACTGGGTTTATTTTTCTCTAAATATAGAATGACGATAACACTTTATCTTTATTTTACTTGAAAAAAGTAAAGTAATTTATTAAGATTGAGTTTATTATTTATTTATTAACTCATTATCATGCATTGACAATGTTTCAATATATATATGAAAGTTTCATTCAAAACTTTTCTCTAATGATACGTGGAAAATAAAACTGAAAGATCAACATTTTTCATCTATGGTTATTTGAAACTCTGACTGCTTTTCATGTGCTAAGGATAACAATTTATACCAATTTTATCTGAATAATATCCAGCTGTGCTTCTAAAAAACACGTAATAATGTTAACTTGTGTTGCTTCTACTTATTTCGGAATTCTTTATCATAAGGTGGCATACTACCATTGCAAGCCATGAGATTTCTGATTAGTTTCTTTTTATTATGAATTACATCTACAAAAGTCGATCACCACACAAACTAACCATATATAGGGATAATAAGTTTTTGTTACTAGACGGTTACGTTAGTAGGTAATGGATAAGAGATCCATTACCAGTCACTAGACTGTCAAATTAATTGCATAGTTTTGAGAAATTGATAACAGATTTAAATGCATTGACCTCAAAAACATTCGATCAAACTTCATCAGAATTCGTTACTTTCTCAAAAAAAAGCTTTTTTTAGTGAAAAAAGTCAAATCCACGAATTTTCCGTTATCTATGGTTAGTTAGTGTAGTGCTTGACTTTTCTAGATGTATTTTATAAAAAAAACTAATTTGAATATCATAGCTTGCAACAGTAGTATGCTATCTTGTTATAAGATATTCCGAAATAATTAAAAGCAACACAGGTTAATTTTATTAGTTTTTTTGTCCAAATGTAACTCAACTTCATTCAGATAAAATTGATGTAAAATGTTGACTTTTCAGTCTTATTTCGTTTTATTTTCCACTGATTATTGAAGAAAAGTGTTTTAATCAGCTTTCATGTATTGTACCAGTATCAATATATGACTAATGAGTTAATAAATCACATAATAAACTCAACATTGATAGATTACTTAACTGAATAAAGTAAAGATAAAGTGCCAACCCTACTCGAAATTGAAACAATGAACAAAAAAAACATGTTTCAAATTTTCGACTACTTGTCATGCCCATAATATGCTTTTCAACGTTCATTTAGTCTGAATTATAGAAAAGCAGGTGAGCTGGTTTTTATACATCATTGCGGTGGAGAAAAGTCCAAAATGCATCGGCACTAAGCATACAATATAGCAATGGCATGATAAATCATACTTTATTTTCGAGCGATATCATATTATATTCTATTAAAATGCAGTGTGTCTCGTATTTCTTCGTCAGAACAGTCGTGAGACAGATAAGAATAAGTTGACTTGATAAGAACCACAAAATGGATTCTATGGTTTCTGTTATATCGCTTCCTGAGCAAATTTCGCTCGAGGACAGTACTCCTTTTCCTCTTACTCTCGCACCGAAATCGAACTGTCTGAAAAGATTGTCTGATGTGGTCTCATTTGTGGAACAACATCGTGATGAATTACTTTCACGTCTTCTTCAATGTGGTGCCATTCTTTTCCGTGACTTTCCCATTGCTGATGCTTTTGAATTTGATACATTTGCACGCACATTCCACTGGATGCCGTTGCCTTATGTTGGCGGTGCAGCACCACGTAAACAAGTGACAAGCATCGTGTTTACTTCGAACGAAAGCCCACCATCAGAACCTATTCCATTTCACCATGAAATGGCACAAGTACCGAAATTTCCTAAACATCTGATGTTTTTTTGTGAAGTACCATCTAAAAGCGGTGGTGAAACACCCATCGCCTACTCGCCAATGGTTTACAATCGAATTAATAATGCATTACCTTATTTTGTACGAAAATTAGAAGAAAAACAAATACGATACACTCGAATATTGCCCGATGGTGACGATCCGCAATCAGCTATCGGACGAGGATGGCAATCGACTTATCAAACAGAAGATCGCAAACATGCAGAAGAAGCTTGCCGAGAGCAAGGCACTGGTATGTATGAAAGTTTTAATTATCAAGAAAGAACAATTGTTTGGATTCAGATTGTGCATGGCTTGACAATGGCTGTTTGAAAACCACAACTAAAGTTTTGCCTGCCGTTAGATTGGATGAGCGAACTGGTATCTATGTTTAATATTTTATGTGTTCACAAACTATTTGTTTTTCTTCAGGTAAAAAATCGTGGTTTAATTCGATTGTAGCGGCCTACATGGGTTGGTCTGACAAACGTAATGATGGGAAAAAAGCTGTGACATTTGCCGACGGTGAACTAATGAATGAGGAAGACATTCATAAATGTGCTACAATACTCGACGAGTCAAGTGTGAGCTTTACATGGAAAAAAGGAGATGTATTGCTAATTGATAATCGGCAAGTGTTGCATGCTCGTAAATCGTTCGAACCACCGCGACGCATTCTTGCTGCACTTTTTCAATAAAAAATTCTTGAGTTCTCTGGTTTTCATACCATATGAATTCATATATTAACTCAATTTTAAAGAAAAAATCTCAACTAGACAGATTTTCCTCTTCTTGCTCGAGAGTTGATCTGGCATTCACTTTCGTGGATTTTCTGTCGAAGAATATAATAAACCTCTTCTGTTTTGATAGTTTTACACGCAAACTATTAAACATTCATGACAAGTTTAGACAAAAAGTTATTTTAGACAAGAATGGCTCAATTTGTAAGAAGAGATAAAGAAAACAACACTTTTTTTGTCAAGTATTGCACTGTTGTATTCAAATAAGATTTTAATACAATGAACTTCATTTATTCTTTTTTTACAACATCAGTCGGTGGCATCATAAATAATACCCTATTCAGTAATTGACTTTACTGATGACCTGTTTAAACTACGACAATTGGACTTTTATGGTTAATTAGTAAACTATTTTCGTATGAATCAGTTCAATCTTAAAAAGCTCTCATGTATTGTATGAAAAGCACGTTCTATTATACGTATATTTTCATCAATTCATTCCTATCCACTATACATATGCTTTTATATTGTATTCAATCGAAACTGGCAATGGTCGACCATCGATCTACAGTCCTGACAAAAATAATATAATCACTTGTTGAAATCGAGTTGTTTGACAAGTTTTTCGATAGTTTCTATATTCTTATACGAAGAAAAATTTATGTAAATACATCTATTTGGATGTGCTCTGTCTGTATGTGAAATTGTATTCACTTGGCACAGCTGTCATACTATATGAAACAGATGCTTCTCAAGGTCTGTCGATTTTTGCTTAGTCAAAATTATATTGACACTGAGAAGCAGAGAACTGGATTCTGAAGGCTTTCATAAAAGCTACTTTTTATAAATGTTTTTGGTTCAGTTTTATAATCAGACGTCAGTACTTCAGTCAATATGACTGCAAAATGCCGTCCAAGTTCCGTAATTCAGCAAGAATAATTGAAATTGAAATGGAACTACTTTTTGTAATGTGAATTCGAACAGAAAACAGTTTTGGTTAATCAATTCGTAACGTTCAAGAAGAAATGAAAGTGTTTCTCACGCGTTATGAACTGACTTGAGTAGCGTATATTATAGTATGACATGTATCTCTCTACTAAAATGTGATGCACAGAGCTCTTTCATATCTTATTTTCTAGCTGAAAGTGTTTTCTATTCGCATTTACATTAAAAAAAGAGTAGTATCGTTTCATTTTCAATTATTCAAGCTGAAATACGAAACTTGAATGGTATTTTTCAGTCATTTTGGCTTGAATACTAAAGTCTGATTATAAAGTCGAACCATAAAAGAATTATAATAAGCAGCTTTTATGAAAAATTTCAGTCCAGTTCTCTGCTTCTTAGTGTTAATATAATTTTGGTCAAGCAAAAACCGACAGACCTTGAGAAGCATCTGTTTCATACAGCCTGACAGCTGTACCAAGTAAATACAATTTCGCATGCAGATAGAGCACATCCAAATAGATGTATTCACATAAATTTTTCTTCATATAAGAATATAGAAATTGTCGAAACTAATTAAACAACTTGACTGAAGCAAGAGTAATCTATGATTTTGGTCAGGACTGTATGATGACCATTTTAAATGGAACCTTTACTATTCAAGTATTTATAATACCTCGTCTAATATTTAGTAAATACTTAAATTTGGAGAATATAATATTCTCAGCATTTAGTAGTAGACACAATGTAGATATAGGTGGTCGTAGTACGTGGAGACAATTTACGATAGACAACTTTTATTTAACTTTTATTTGAAATAAAACAATGTAAACAAAAACTTTCTTTAAATTAACTTAAGATTACAATTAGTTGCACCATAAACATCTATTTGTAATTGTTCAAGCTACTTAGTTACATTATTACAAGCAATACCATTACATACATAAACAAAATGAAAAGCAGGTTTATAAGATGCTACACTAGGTACAAAAATATGATGTGAAGAAAGCAAATTGTGTATATTTTATGGATATTGAAAGATAACACTTTGCTGAGTGCATCTGAATAAAGAGTAAGAAATGTGTCAACAAAATTTTTTTCTGTATATTATTACATAGCACAAAAAGATTTGTCGTATTCCATATCGATGATTAAAACAAAAGTAAAAGTTAAAATTCAATGACCACATTTGTTTTTCATGCTAGATTGCCTAATTTGAACCATAATCATCGATGTCCTTTTTAAGCCTTTATATAACCAACTGTGATAGCAAGTATTTCACCTGAAACATAGAAGGAATCCCTGACAAATGCGAGAAATACGAATGTCGATGCCGACTCTCGATACTGCGCTAGAGGCTTCATTGGAGACTATAACAAGAAATAGGATTGTATAGGTTAAAATAACGTTTTCAAAACTCCAATTTAAAAATTTTTGCTATTGAACGAAATATGCAAAATTTGTAGTTGGAATTCGACATTTTTAATCTATATTGTTTCATGAGCATTCCATAGTTTTATAATAAAAATAACAATTACAAAAATTTTCGTTTCTTTTTGTGCAAAATAATTGTCTCTTTTTTTTCACGATTGATTGACATATTATTACGCTTAAACTTACATTCGCTCCAAATTGTGAAATTTTTTCTTTGGGAAAGCTTGCAACAATGAATGGCGTCCAAACAGGTTCAGGAGCAACACAATTTACTCAAATATCTTTTTCAGGCGTTTTTGCAGTAAGATCTTTAAAAATGAATACCAATCTTAAAATAACAAAGAATGTGATCGAATCAGCTGACCTTACATGAAGTCCAACAGTTGCAGCCTTGGTAGTAGCATAATCAAGAATTTCTGCCGACGGGTCATAACTGACAAAAAAGAAAACATACATAGCATATCAAATTAAAATAAAATGTTTTCAAGCATGAACAAAGTATTTGACAGTGTTCGAAGAAAAAAAAATCACGCCTAAACAGAGCCAACATTAATAATGGATGAGCTCTTGGACATGTCAGGAATAGCATAACGAGTAAGATCGAACATGGTAATAATATTCGTTTTGAATGTATACAAGACTCGACCGTGACTTATATCTTCGACCGAATCATCCTTCAAAAAGCAATAATCATATTCATAATTTCAAAAGTAAAAGTACCCAAAAAGAAGATTCGTTTTGATTTTCTGTAAGATTTCTATTCTTCTCGACTTTCAAGTAAACTTACGACTTGTTTGCCCTGGTAAGCTGAATTATTAACAAGAATATCTATACATTTGAATCGAGTTACTGTTTCATTGATGATTCTTTTACATTGATTCTCTTCGCCGCTATCACCAGGCTACACAAATACGAAGAAAAAAATTCAACAGAATATCAGAAACATAAGTAAGCTACAATTAAAATACAATCATGACCTTCGTTTTGAATATCTTCGGCATCTTCAGTTTCATTCTAAAACGAGATGACAATTGAAGCATCTTCACCAGCAAATACTAAGACAACTGCACGTCCAATTCCACTATCATTACCTACATTTAAAGAGAATATTAGTTATAACATTATTGCAAACGCAGATAAACATCATAGCAATAGCAGTTCGTTGTTTTTTTTTTCAGAAGTTCCAAAACTTCTTTATAGACAAATAGCGATGCTTTGATACGTGTAATGATGGCCGCTTTGCCTTCAAGTTTACCACAGATATTTTACGATGTGTAACCGTAATCGGACTTTGGATCCATTTCACTTTCCAGACCGGGAGACTCTTGTGAATTAAAATTGAATGGCGGTCGAGGACCGACCTGAAAAGGCAATGTGAAAACGAAAATGAGAATTTCTAAAGAGAGAAAACAATTTGAGCCATTAGAGGATCACCGTCGAGATCGTATGAATCCAATGAAAGAACTGAAAAGAGGTAAAATCAATAATAAGTGACAGGCTACATTTTTGATAAGATAATTCATTTAATATTATGATTCAGCATACTATTACTTACCTTTCAGATAAGAAAGATGAATCATACTTCACTGTTATAGCATGATACGATATGGATTTTGAAATTCTATTAATTGTTCTCACTCACAAGAGAATAATATGCAATTGTTAGACATAAAAAAATCAAGAGTTATCAGCTAACACATCTAACACCATGCTTTATTATTCTTGTGTAGTATTCGTTCATGGATAACAACATTGAACCATCTATTGAGTCTACTGGAGAAAAAAAAAATTTTGAACTGGACGATTTGATTTCGATCCCGGTTTTTCGTTGATTACCATCAGGAAAATAGTAATTGATGTACGTCAAAAAATCTCTAACTCAACGTTATTTTTCAAATGAATTCTACATCTTAATACGACGTCATTTTTCTAGCAACACGTTCAATAATCTTGATATAACTAACCATCATTAGCAATTGTCACCAAGTTTGATTAAACAATGAGTGGTGGAACGATTCATAACACTGTTATCAATAGCCAATCAAAATGAGTATTCATGTTCATTGCTTCTAATTATTCAATAATAACAAAGAGAATGAAATGAATATGTATGATACTTTATATTCCATCTGTTCATGTTTTATACTCAAAGTACACATTCGTTGTGGCACGTGTCCTAGGACAGTAAAGATGATGCGCCATAAGCAGTAGAGAAGAGAATGTACTATTATAGTTGGTGAGAACAGTAACAACAAAACTGGAGGAATAACATTAGTGTTACCCTTCAGAATAATGTATAATAATTTAGGTACGTTATATCTTCAGGTGTAATCTTTATCACATAGAACATGTAGGTATATCAGTATAATGTATAACTTGAAAGTTTAACACAACTATTGAAAACTTCTCCAATTATTTGAATATTCAATTTTTTGATTTCATTATTCAATAAGGTAAACTATTTGGCAATAAAACTTACTGAGGACATGTTCATAATACGAACGCTACAAAATCTTGATACTGTCGAAATTGAATTGTATAATCGAAATCAACTTTTAAGTTTGACATTGTTCAATACTTGGAAATACTTGATTATAAACTATTAACAACTGGCTTTCAACTATTTTAGTTATTAGATTACCAAATTATTGTAAAGAAATGATTGAAAAGCAAAAATTCATCTGAAAAAAATTAAGAATTTTTAGAACTTTTTGTTATCAAATTTAGAAATATTCAATCAAATTTTATTATGTTGAATATAAAGGAATCTTTATTTCATTTTCGTTACAATCAGCAAGAAAAGATAAAAAATTTACAAAAAAACCTCGAAATGTAATTGCATAATATGAACATGAATACATATAAAAGAACACATTCCACATCTAATTTGAGGAGAGAAGGCTATGCTATTCGATTACTTCGCTTTGTAAATCAACGGTAGATTCTTTTGCTTGTAACAAAAACGTTGCGGGTTCGATCCCCGCCGGAGCACCTTCCAATTGAATGCGCAATCCTTCTTGACTTTTTTTGGCTACATCTGTCAATGAATAAATTCCTAGTGTATAACGAGAAGAACATAGAAAATATGACAAGAGATGAAATTCACGATTGTTTCATTTCAAACAGTTGCTTCCCATGAGCAATGAACACAGCTCTTATTGATTGAATTAATATGTAGAAATCACAAATAAGAATGCTAAATATCGTATTAATTATACAAATAATAGAAATATTATACAACGGAAAATAACTAATAATAACAGAAAACTAGAACTAATGTATGGGTGTGGCATGGATGTTACTAAAGAGAAGACTTATACCTACACTTCACACTCTCAAAACGATTTCTATGCGTTACTCACGGTGAACAAGTATTGTTAAAGAACAAGTGTCCGAGATGAAATCGTGATATTATCCACTTATGACAATTTATCGCAAAGGCATGATTACAGATTTGAATAGTAAAGTCTGATTATCGAGTCAAACCAAAAGCATTTTTAAAAAGCAGCTTTTATGAAAACCTTCAGAGTTCGGTTCTCTATTTGTCAGTGTCAATTTCAAGCTAAACTGACGTCAAGCTCGAAAAAGCAGAACAAAAAAAAATGCAATATCGACTCAATAATTTTGGTCAGCACGGTAGGATAGCTACTGTAAATGGTATCTTTACTGTTCAAGTATTCATAGTGTTCCATCTCATATTTAGTGAATACTTACGTTTGAACAAAGTAATATTTTCAGCATTTAGAAGGTGATAGAGTCATGCTAATATAAAATAAATAGAATTTATTTTGATATGAAGCACCTTTCTATAAATTTTTGAACGAACGGCAATATAGTTTACATAGAAAATGGGTCATTTTTGGATACATTTCAGTAAGACTTCTGGGACCATTCTATAAATGACCATGTAAATTCTTACATAACTTCATAGTAGTCTGTCTGTAGTTTAAATCTATATAAATTCGATTTCTATAAGGCTGATTTTGGGAAAGATTCAGCCCTTCTTAAATCGTGAGTTTCGTCTAAATCATGATTTTGTGAAAGGTCTGTTGAGCGAGAGAAATTATCTAAAGAGCTGGAATCTTTTCGCCAGAGTACCGACGCAATGAGCTTCTTCTATAGCGAAAATATCAGTTCTCTAACATGATTATCTCATGAGATATGTATATGCACAAAACACCAAACACTAAAAATGATCATTTTTTTCGTATACTTGATACTGCTAATAATTTCATGAACAGTTCACTCATGCGAAGCCATTTTTGTATGCTAAGTACATCAACTTCAAATGCATTCACAGTAAAAATTTCAAAAAGGATCGGATATATCTTTATTGAGATATGAATGCCACAAAAAAAACACAAGAATATGTTTTTCAGACGATAGTACTCTCACAAATATTTCAATATCTCGAGAACGGAACCATATATTTTCAAACAGCTTGCGCCAAAATTCTTAAAACTTTTCCTTCTATAAGCATATTTTTAGAAATATTTAATTAAATTTTATTATATTGTATATAAAGGAATCTTTAGTTTATTTTCAATATAATTATCTAGAGAAGAGGAAAAATAAAAAAAACCTTGAAATGTAATTGCACAATAGCAATGTGAATATATATATGAAATAACACATTCAGCATATAATTTGAGGAGAGAAGGCTATGTTGTTCGATTACTTCGCTTTGTAAATCAACGGTAGATTATTTTGTTCATAACGAAAATGTTGCGGGTTCGATCCCCGCCGAAGCATCTTCCAATTGAACGCGCAATCCTTCTCTCTTTTTCTTTAAGCTACATCTGTCATTAATAAAATTCGTAGTGTGTAACGAGAAGAACGTAGACAATGTAAGGAGAGGCGATTTACTAAAAAGATTTTAGCGGATACTTTAACGTAGAGTATTGGATCGAGTTTTTTGTCGGATTAAAGTGTACACCAAACGAAAACTCTACAATAAGATACAAGAAGTTTTTATGCTTTGCATTTGATAGAAAGAGTCTTTCAGTTTTTCAACGACATCATTTGATGATAAAAACCTTTACCCTTACAATTGTCCCAGAGAATTAATAATAAACATGAAAAACTACTCTATCGAACTTACATTTTAAAAAAGTGTTTGGTGTTAATGATAAATTTGTATTGAACGTTTACTTCAACCAGATAAAAGAAATTCAATAGATTTCACATCCAATGAAATAAAGCATAAGTCAAGATTTTTCGACTCTTTCACAAAAATGACTATTTAATCCTTATGATAAATCTAAAAACTCTGAAAGTTAAACATATCATCTCTTGCAACTCTATGAGAATTACTTCAACTTTTCATATGCCTAATCATAGAGTTATAAGCATGTCATACAGGAGATTGTCTTCTATGTTGCAAAAAATAAAAAAAACATCAAAGTTTTGCATGAACCATGGTAACTAGACATGTAAATGGAAAGAGATTAGAATAGAAAAATTTGGAAAACTCATGTTGAATAGAATTATATCAAAATGTTAATCAAGTCTTTATAGTATATTTATATAAGCGTCTTCAACTCTGATCAATAGTATACAAACATATGAATATTGTTCATTATACATTTTCGATGGAGTTTTATAAAGTTTTTCTTAACTTGTAATTCTTTTGTTATCAAGTCTTGGTTTTTTGTGCATTTTTCTTTTATCTTACTTTATTTGACAAAATTAAAAATAAAATTCACCAATAGTGGGTACCTTCTGTGTACATGAACAAATAATTTCCTATTACTTGATACTTAATAAATTAAAAATTTTTGCTTATTTGAAAAAAGCATTATGTTAACAAAAGCCACATCAAAATCTACAACTGCATGAAATAGTCTTTATTTTAGTTATGGAAACGAGACCAAGTAAGAATATGTTTTATGCAATCAATGTAAAGTTTTATTTATAAATCATTGTCTAGTACTAATGTACTATCTAAACATATTTGCAGTTATCAAAACACAACAAAATTACAGTTTTCAATGGTTAAACAAATATTAATCAGTTTTATGCATCTCTCAAAGATGAACCAATTATATTAATTTTTAAAATCTTGCACAAAAAATTTTTAATGTTGGTCAATACTTATTTATAGAAACTTGCGAGCTCATGTTTTCGTGGATCAAACCTGGATCTCCGAATCTCGAAGTACTCGCAGCTTCCTAGTCATTGCCATCTAGTTACAAGAGACTTCTTAAAGAACTTCAAAACTTTTAACTCAATCTTTATCGTTTGTTTATATTGGTCGAAAATGGTGTTCACTAAAAACACCTGTGCAGTCTTAGATAATAGCAAATCTAACCAAACAAATCATATATTCTCATTTAATATTAAGAAAATTTAACAATATGAAAACAGCAAATACAAATTCATTGATTGGTCACGAGTTATGAAACCAATATTGTCATCATCTTCAATTGAATTGTTCAAAAGCAAAAATAAGTACACAAAAAAGAATTTCATTATTCACATTTTTTTTCCTACAGAGGCCTGTTATTTCTTAGATTAAACGAATCAACATTAAAACTAATCTTTTTTTTTAATATAGCTCAAAGTTCGAAGTGTTGTCTTAATAATGTCCATAAAACTTCTGATTCTGCTCATCATATGCAAAATATAATTAGTAGTATTTGTTGAGGATAACCGAGTACGAAACTTTTAATTTCTTGGACATCATCAATCAATACTAGCCAATTATCTCTTTTAATGGTATACTTTATTGAGTTTTTATTTCGAAGACTCATTGTAACCGAAATAGAAGACAAAGTTCAAAACAATGAGCCTGTATGCTTATCGCTTCTATTCGATATGAAATGGATACTAAGATTTATAGTAACATGTTGAAAAATTCATCAAGAAACTAATCTGTGCATGTTGGATTTTCTATTAAACTAAGATTTTTCGTTGTATACGTGCTGAAAATAATATATACACAACAAATAAAGGACAGTTTTTTAATAAGTTAGAAATCAATCGTCTTGATATAAAAACGATAATAGTTCAATTATAAAAATAAAAATTTGATTTCAAGAAAACATTCTCTCTATTTAATTTTGATTATTTTAAGAATGAATATCTGAAATTTATGTTAAAGAATCAATATCAGCTGCTTGTTTAAAATATTTTTGTGCCTTTTGTATTAAACCTTTTTTTTCGTAAACGATGCCAATACTTCGAAGTGCTGTTGCAAGACTTGGATGTTGATTTGATTCGAAATGCTTCATTGTAATGCTCTAATGCATGATCATAATTATTGAGCATGCAATATATATTGCCAATATTGTTATGTACCGCACTTAGAGCACGATGATCAATAGGTACATGTTTTTTTGCAATATCTAATGCCATTTCATAATATTCAAGTGCCTTTGAATAATCTTTCTGATCTTCATAAACTGCCCCTATGTTATTTAAACACATAGCTACTTTAGGATGATTTTCACCAAATGATTTTTCCCAAATCTTTAAAGACTTTTCATATGATTTAAGTGCTTGTCGATGATCATTTTTTTTTCGATAAACAATTGCAATACAATTATAACTCAATGCTATATTTGGATCATGTGAACTTAGTTTGTCCATTTTGATTGAGAGTGCGTCAAGATGCCATTGAAGACTTTCATCATATTTTCCTTTTGCACAAGCTACAGTACCTAATGAATAATAACAATTAGCAATATCTTGAGAATTCTTTGAAGATTGATCGAGAAAACGACGATAATATTTTTCGGCTTCATTGAGCTTGCTCATATCACGTAATATATTACCATATGTAATAATGTTTGTTTCTTGTTCTGTATATTCATTTTTCATTTGATTAATAATCAAATTTGACTCCTGATGTTCATCACCGACAAGTACCATTCGAATAGTCCATAATTCATCTTCATCACGATTAATACTAATAATTCGAAAAATTGATCCCAACATAAATAGAATTTCTTCTTCTTCAGGAAAATAACTAAGCGATGTAATATTTGAAAATGGTTTAATACCTTTCAATTGAGGATCAGCATCAATTTCGAATAGAACTAGTTCAAAATCACTTGAATAATCGAGAAATGAAAGAGCTTGACGACGATTAACACTTGTCGACAAATATGAATTCATTGCAACATATTTACCAATAGATTTTTGTAATAATTGAATTTCTTCTATCGACATTAATTGACATCGATAGAGATGAACAAACGATGAACATTGTCGTTGTTCTAATTGTTTTTGAATATCACGAATAAAAAAACGACACAAGAAAAGTAAATCAACATTTAATATACGAAGTGCTTTATTCACAAGTCGATAGAGAAATGCTTCTCGTGTATACCACCATAAAGCTCGTTCAGATGAATAAAATTTTTCGAATTCATTAAGAAGTGATAATTCTGCTGTATTTCCTTTATAATATTGTTGACAAAGAGAAATAAAGTCATTTTTTTCATTTGACGTTGGTTTCATTCGTACAAGACAATCAATCAATAATTGAGATTGAATAAACTGATCACTAAGATCACTTGTTGATTGTTCATGTTTATTATTATTTGTATTGCTAAAATTCATTGGTAAAGGTTCATCAACTCTGTTTCGATTTCGTCTTGCTTGATCTGATCGAATTTGAGATATGAGCTCATCTAATAAAACGATTACACCTTTGACCTAACGAGAAAAAAAAGACAAGAAAAAATTATTTTCATATATATTTCTTATATTCATCGACTTTTTTAAATTGATTGGACCATAATTCATTTCTTTTCTTATCTTTACAATAAACATAAATAGCAGATACTTGTCGTAATGAATGAATACGAGGTACTATAATTTCACCAAATCGACCACTAACTATAAATACAATACGATCATCTTTAGGTACTGATCGAATATATTGTTCGCATTTATCAGCATCTTCAAATATTTTCAAAAAATTAATTGATGTTCGAAGTTGATGCTGAGCATCGATATTTTCTTGTGTATCGTTGACTGATGCATCGAGCCATATAAGAGAGAATGTTTCAAGATTTTCTTCAACAATCAAGGATGTTACTATATCTGTCATTCATACAATTTGCGATATTTTGAAATCTAGTCACACAGACACACAATTTCTTTCGAACAAGAAACTTCTACTATCACAGGATGACATATTGCGATGGTAATTTAACTACGGAAGAAGCGGTGGTATTTTTTGGATTGAGTTTGGAATATTGTTGTGCCTTTTTTCTGTTTCTATTGGTTGTTTTTATTGGATTGGTCGTTATGGTAGTTTTACACCTATATAACTTTTTGTAGACGTAATACTGGACGGATCTTTTATTTTGTTGCATTCTTCAACGAAGTTAATATATATTTTTTTCTTATTTGCTTACTTCATTCATACCGAATAACTTCTGTCATTACATTTTGCTCTGTCAATACTTTCAAATGTGCACACATTTGTTATTGAAAGACGTAAAATAAAAGAAGAAAGTCAGTGGTGGCAACGGAATTATAGGTCATTGTTTTTCTACTACTGGCATCATCAGCTATTAAACAAGAAGAACTATGAAAATTGATTGCGGATCTCGCAAAAGTTCAAAATCATTGTACCTAGTTTTGTGTTACGTCAGGCAGCGGTGATTGAAATTTTTCAATAACTATTTTCTCTAGTAGCATAATGTTTTCGGCATATACTCGTATCTTTATATGTAACTTAGACGACGCTGTACAGCATACAAAATTTCATTTATTTTTGCATAGTTGTGCCATCATTTTTCTACAAGAATCATTTCTAATTTCAATTTTCATTATATAGATTTCCAATCTGAAATTGGTTAGATACTCTGCTCTAAAAATTAACTTTAGGAACTTCTTCATGACATAAATAATTTCACAGAACAGAATTCCTTCGCCAATGTTTAATATAGTGGAATAGAATGTAGTCTCAAAATCTATTATCGAATTCTGTTCAAAAGAACTTTTTAACATTGAACAATGTTTGCTTGTTAGTAGTTGCAGAAATATTATTTGAGAAGACCATTAAATAAGAATATCATCGTTTTGAGATGAATAGTTTTCTCCATTGATATTATCATTGTGTATCGATTTACGTTAAATGAATATGATCGAATGTTTCTTGCATTTCAAAGTTGTTAATTTATTCTTGAACGAAGCTGAACAGTCAACTTTAATGTTGTTGATAATCAATCGAAAAGAAATGATGTAAAGGGAAGAAACTAGGAAAACAATATGAGAACTGTTTAAACATTAGATGGTTTCCTTTAATAAAAGACTTATCAAAACATGGATATTTTTGTAATCGATAAGTTTAATATATTTATTTGATTATTAAGAAGTTTCGTTTGTTTCAAAATGTCGGTGAATACTCATTCTCAGAAGTTCGAAAATAAACTGACGCATACCATCAACTGTAAAAGTTTTTTTCAAGTTTTCATTCGTTTTGAAGTAGTTTATTTTGTTTTTGATCATTCTTCATTGATATTCTGTCAATATGCTTATTTCACTGCAATTTTAAGATCTCATCATCATAACTATTATACATTTCATTATCAACAGTGGCATTGAATAAGTCAACCATTTTTTTTTCATCAGTTAAACCTATGTGGATTTCAAATATTTTCCATGAAAATAGTGAATGCAAATTTGAATCGAGGTTTTTGTAGCTCCCACTCGGGGCTCTATCAACCGGAGTTTAGAAGAGGAAGGACAAGGACTATTGGGCAAGTCTTCATAACAACGAGAAGAGGCACGTCAGTAATAACAGGGCTTAGATCATTCTGGAACTTTCTATGAATCTAAGATTTCTAGTGTAGATTCTAAATACTAGTTTAAATATTGCAGATGTGGGCGAAGAGTAAAAAGCCATCATAGGGGCAAGCATTTACTTTCAGTAAGAACGATTGATCCTTAAGCGAAAATATCAACAAATAGAATAATTCAAGCGCAGACATCATTTTTTGCCTAAGGAAACCATCAGATATGTGAGACAAGTATGCATCGAGTAACAGCCATACGTAATTTCCAGAAGACTTAATCCATTTCAAATACGACTATTAATTTATCGATAGCTTCAACGTATTGTTTCGTGAACTATCATGAATTTGGACTGATGAATTCCGTTCGAATAATGAATATAATCAGTTGGCATGCGTTATGATTGATGTCCAATCCTACTCGTTATTATTTTGTCATTTTATTGGTAATATATTGCTGTGTCTGTACTTTCGTCTATGTGTTTTCGTTTTCGGCAATATCTAAATTTCAAATGATCAAACTATCGTACATTGTTCGAAATCTATCTTTGATAGAGACCAATCCATTGAAAATATCAAACTTTCGAAGTTTAGATATAGTAGTGAATGAAGATCCGTTTCGTTCTCAATCGATTACAATATACTTAAGTGCTTATCGAAATCATATCACGTGAAAAGAGTTTATGTGTTATTTTCCCTGGTCTAATATAACAACTTTCGGAATAATCGATCGTCAATCTAGTGAACCATTTTTAATATGTTCATTGCCAGATGTAGAATTATAAGCAATACAAAATGGTCGGCATTATTTCAATATTACTCTTACAATAACATATGAAAATGAAATCAATCTATACTGGGATTCGTAATAAACGAAATGAAATAATAGATTGGATTGAATATCATCGAATGATTGGTATCGAACATTTTTATTTGTATGATAATTTAAGTGAAGATCATATTGATATATTTCTCAAATATTATCTAGATCAAAATATTGTTACTATTATCAAATGACCTTTTCGACCAATTCAAAATCAACATTGGAACATGATTCAATCTGCTTCAATGAATCATGCTTTGAAAAATTTTGGTCCATTCAATACAAGGATGGGTTATTTTGATGTTGATGAATATTTTCAGTTAAACAATACAAATGAACAACTTATTCTAAGAAGAAAAAGAGTCACTCGTTGGATTAATTGATCAATCATTTCCAGAGACAAAATTTCCTGGAGGTGTACCGTTTTATAATTGCCCAATATCATGTTTTCTATCACAAGAGGAAATACTTTCAAGTCGTCATTTGAACATTTTTCAAAAATGCAATTCAATTATGGAGCCTTGAGATTGTCTCAGACGGAGAAAATTATTTATTCGATCTCGAAATATTCCTTTCATGCAAAATATTCACTCACTTGAGCGTGAAATCATATTTTCGGCTAAGAATGACCTTTCAAATTTCGGTTAATTTCGACATTATCATTATGTAATTATAGGTGCAAAAGGAGAACGACGCGGTAAATTTGATAATTCCATTAATAAATCTATCGTAAATTTAACACAAAGAATATCTTTATTCTATCGAACACATTGTCCTGAGCTTAAAATTTATTAATGTTTTGAAAGTTCTTTATGTACGAATACTTTTTTATGTTTTCTTTTGCAGCTATTCTATTCATTGAATAGTTTATTGATAATTGATATAAACTCATTTTAATCTCACGTCGAAGATTTCAACGTGGGCACCATTCATTGTGACCAGTCATCAATGACATGCCTAATTGTCAGTCGACAGAAGAAAACACAATTCATTTGGGTTTTTATAAAATATGCTAAAAGATTTCGAATTGAAAGTGTTTATTGATTAGTCTCAAATTTTCTTCAGCAGTTAAGAATAATAGGATGTGAGTGTCGCGCAGGTATCGATTATACACACACCCACAGCCGTAGAAGCAATATTGAGTTGCTCTTTACGAAACAATTAAATCATTTGCTTTCTATTTTTTAAAAAATAAAGTATCAAATATCCCCTCTGTCCTAGAAATATACGAAAAAAAAGACATCGTCACCATTCTAACGTATACCAATGCAAGTCATGAGTAGAATAGCAGTTCGTTTTTTCGTATTTATTCTTCTTAGGTAATTAAAAGTATTTTTTTTCTTTATGTCTGCAATATTGAATATTTTGTTTTACATATTCAATTATTAATTTAGTTGTTCAGTTATTCAAGTGACTTCTCAACCATGTCATGGAATGTCTCAATATAGTCAATGTTCGACAAATAGTGCATGTGGATGCCTTTATAAAGCAAGTTCTGATAACATTGCTATTTGTGGTTTTCTTTGGGTGACTTGTTCTGAACTTGTTTCCTGTGAATCTTTAAACAATACNCATTTGAAATCAACACTTAAAACTGCATGTATTAACATAGATTCCGTCAAGAAAAATTGTCATCGAAATTTGGCTGAGGAGGAGTATAGGCGAAATTATACCACAAAAGAACTGAGAGGGACTAGGGATCGAATTTTGCTGAAAAATAATTTTTGACGGAATCTATGTTAATACATGCAGTTTTAAGTGTTGATTTCAAATGTTATATGCATTTTACTCAAAAGTCAATTTTTGTTCGTCATAGTTTGAAAATACAGTTGTATTTTTGGACTTTTCTGCTCTGGTTCCAGTATTTGCTCTATTGAAACATGTTTTACATTTTTTTTCTTATTTTTGAAGGCATATTCAGAAAGAGTATGAAAAATTTCATCCATGTATATGCGCCACTCATGGGTTAGATATCTCCTTATCCTATAATATTAGGCCAAAAGGTGCAAAAACCTAATTTAGGGACCGGGTTTTTTAGTATTTGACCCCAGAAGCATTGACAGCTTGGCTTTTGATCGCTTTCTTATATGATTCTGATTGAAAATATAATTTGGCACGCGTTCTTGTATAATTTAGAGTCCTCAATGACGTTGCCAGGTTACTTGGTGGTGAAAACCCCAAATGAACATTTATTAGAACCGTACAATAAAAGAGATTTTTCTCAATGAAATTTTCATTTTCTTTGAATTCTAACGTAATATGCGAAATCAGAATCAAATTCTGCATCTATTGATGTTTAATTCAATAGAATTCGAAAAAAAACGTTTTTCCATGGTCCTGGGGTCCCCTACAGGTGCAAAAAGACAGGTAAAAAATGAAAGTCGTTTTTCGACCGAAAAAAACATAAAATTTTACTCAGAATTTCACGCTGATTCAGATATGTAATTCTTTCTCAAAACGATTTTGGGTAAAACAATGGCCTTATTGATACTACTCCTTTGTGCTTTAAGTGCGAATTTTCCGAACCTTCCTTCACTTTGATTCTTGTTGTTATTTTGTGTGTGTGTGCGTGACTCTAACAATAGTCTTAACTAATCTAAAATTCAAACAACAAAACAGAGAAGGATAGCATCTGAATTATCTGCGTTTGCAATTACCGTTAATTATATAACATCAATAGGCATTAAAGATATTATTTTCTTGCGCTACTTGTAACATGAACAGTATGAAAGAGTGAAAACAAAAAAGACTAGAGAAATGTGGAATATAAGACAATAAGAAGAATCTATCATTTCTGATTGTGTGCTCATTATGCTTGGTAGATTAGCTCATTATTGATTCAAGGCAAGCTTGACCATAGATACGCCATTCTTAAGAGAAAAAGCTAAAAATGAAATGAATGAAGAATTGTATTTTACTAACGGAGGCTGATTATATATAGTAAATAAAACGTTTTTTTAAATCACTAACGGGGACTGTAGGTATTGTCGTATGCATTTTTTTCTTAGTACCATATGTCATATACTGACAGTTTATGTAGAACTTGAAGAAAGAATCTCATTGTAAATCATGTAATTTAAACATTTAGTCAGGTGAATTCAAGTCGACTAGCGACAAACCATAGAGTTGGCAAGACAATCCATCTTATTATGCCTATAAGTATGCAGTAAACTTAAAATATCGAGAAAAGCTTGGAGATTACACCAGGATTAATACAATATTGAAAATCTGTTAATCTAAAATCTATCGCTACACTGATACAGTCTGAATCAGACTACAATGAACACTGTGGTTCTTCGAGCTGCTTTAGCTCAGTGGCTGTTTGCTCGTCTTTTAATGTATTTTATCGTGTGCTCTCTTGTTCGAACCCATCTCTTAAAACTATTCGAATCTCGTTTACAACTTGTGTTAAGTCGTTATAATCGTATATCAATAAATAATTGGGCAGGAGGATTGGATTATCGTTTGAATAGTCGAGAGTCTACCAACTCTTTTGCTTTTGATACTCCAAAAAGTACGTTTCTTGTCAGTTTTTTCAGCAGCAGTGAAACTCGTTAATTCTGCCTGGTTTAATGCATTTTCCCGATGTTAAAGTTAACGATGCGAAACGCTGTTAAGAAGAATACGTTTCGCAGCGTTTGTTTTAGAAACTGCAAAACTTGTTAAACCGGTCAGCATTAATGCGTTTCGCAGCGATGGGAAAACGCGTTTTTTCGCAAAAATTTACGACATGGGTTCGGAGTAGCTTATTCTGTTTTCGATCATTCTTGATTGATATCCTGTTAATATGCTTATTTCGTTGCAATTTTAAGATCTCATCGTCATCACTATTATACATTTCATTATCAGCAGTGGTATTGAAAAAGTAAACCATTTTGTTTTCATCAGTTAAACCTATTTGAACCTGACGATCACGTCGCCAAAAATTATTCTCTCTTTTTTGTGGAGCTCAAATATTTTCTAAGAACATAGTGAATGTAAATTTGAATCGAGGTTTTTTGTAGTTTCCACTAGGGGCTGTAGCAACCGGGGTTCAGAAGAGGAAGGGCAAGGATTATTGGGTAAGTCTCAAGGGGGAACAAGCGGACTTCTGTACTTCTTTGTACTTCTTCGTACTTCTCCGTACTTCTCGGTACTTCTTGGCAAATATCAAAAATTCTGTTTCCAAAAAACAGAATTTTTGATATTTCCCGATAACAGAACACTTTTGTTCTGTTTTGGGAAAAAATCGAGGAAGAAAGCGCGTACTTCTCTGTACTTCTTGGTACTTCTTCGCACTTCTTGGTACTTCTCTGTACTTTTCCGTACTTTTGTACTTCGGAAGTACAGAAGTCCGCTTTTTCCCCTTGGTAAGTCTCCATAACAATGAGAAGATGCACGTCAGTAATAACAGTGCTTAGATCTTTCCGGAACTTTCTAGGAATCTGAAAAGCATTCTATGAATCTAAGATTTCTAGTGTGGATTCTAAATATTAGTCTAAATATTGTAGATGTGGGCGAAGAGTAGAAAGCCATCATAGGAGTAAGCATTTGCTTCCAGTAAGAACGATTGATCCTGAAACGAAAATATCAACAAATAGAATAATTCAAGCGTAGACATTACGCTTTGCCTAAGGAAACCATCGCATGTGCGAGACAAGTATGCATCGAGTAACAGCCATACGTAATTTCTAGATGAAAGAATCCATTTTAAATGCGACTATTTATTTATCGATCGCTCCAACACATTGTTGCATGAACTATCATGAATTTGGACTGATGAATTCCGTTCGAATAATGAATATAATCAGTTGGCATGCGTTATAATTGAATGACTCAATCATTGTAAAATCTGTCAATCAACATAATGATGATAAAACGATTGATGACCAATTCTACTCGTCATTATTTTCTTATTTTATTGGTAATATTTTGTTGTATCTGTACTTTCGTCTATGTATTTTCGTTTTCGCCAATATCTAAATTTCAAATGATCAAGCTATCGTACACTGTTCAAAATTTATCTTTGATAGAGACCAATACATTAGAAATATCAAACTTTCGAATTTTAGATATAGTACTGAATGGAGATCCGTTTCGTTCTCGATCGATTACATTATACTTAAGTGCTTATCGAAATTATATCACATGGAAAAAGTTTATGTGTTACTTTCCCTGGTCAAATATTACAACTTTCGGAATAATGGATCATCGATCTAGTGAAACATTTTTAACATGTTCATTGCCAGAAGTAGAATTATTAGCAATACAAAATGGTAGGCATTATTTCAATATTACTCTTACAATAACTTGTGAAAATGAAAACAATCAAACATTTTTCACTAGTAAATCTAAACAAGTACGTGTTTATGGCAGAACAGAACATGCTATATCAATCTATACTATGATTCGTAATAAACGAAATGAAATAATCGATTGGATTGAATATCATCGAATGATTGGTATCGAACATTTTTATTTGTATGATAATTTGAGTGAAGATCATATTGATATATTTCTCAAATATTATCTAGATCAAGATATTGTTACTATTGTCAAATGGCCTTTTCGACCAATTCGAAATCAACATTGGAACATGATTCAATGTGCTTCAATGAATCATGCTTTGAAAAATTTTGGTCCATTCAATAAATGGATGGGTTATTTTGATGTTGATGAATATTTTCAGTTAAACGATACAAATGAACAACTTATTCTAGGAAGAAAAAAATCACTCGTTGAATTACTTGATCAATCATTTCCAGAGACAAAATTTCCTGGAGGTGTACAGTTTTATAATTGTCCAATATCATGTTTTCTATCACAAGAAGAAATACTTTCAAGTCGTCATTTGAACATTTTTCAAAAATGCAATTCAATTGTGGAACCTCGAGATTGTTTCAGACGGACAAAATTATTTATTCGACCTCAAAATGTTCCTTTCATGCGAAGTATTCATTTACTTGAGCGTGGAATCATATTTTCGGCTAGGAATGAACTCTCGAATTTCGGTCAATTTCGACATTATCACTATGGATTTATAAGTGAAAAAGGAGATCGACGAGGCAAATTTGATAATTCCATGAATAAATTCATCGTAAATTTAACACAAAGAATATCTTTATTCTATAGGACACATTGTCCTGAGCTTAAAATTTACTAATGTTTTGAAAGTTCTTTATGTACGAATACTTTGTCATATTTTCTTTTGCAGCAATTTTATTCATTGAATAGTTTATTGATAATTGATATAAACTCATTTAAACCTCACGTTGATGATTTCAACGTGGAAATCATTCATCATGACTAGTCATAAATCACATTTCTAATTGTCAGTCAACAGATGAAAACACAATTCAATTGAGTTTTTATTAAATAAGCTAAAAGATTTCGAATTGAAAGTGTTTATCGATTGGTCTCAAGTTTTCTTCAGTAGTTAAGAATACTAGGATGTGAGTGTCGCATAAGTATCGATTATACACCCACATCCACACCCATAGAAACAATATTGAGTTCCTCTTTACGAAACAATTAAATCATTTGCTTTTTACTTTTAAAAAAATAAGATATCAAATATCACCTCTGTCCTAGAAATATACGAAAAAAACAATACATCGTCACCATTCTAACGTATACCAATGCAAGCCATGAGTAGAACAGCAGTTCGTTTTTTCGTATTTATTCTTCTTAGGTAATTAGAAGTCTTTTTTTTCTTGTATCTGCAGTACTGAATATTTTGTTTTACATATTCAATTATTAATTTAGTTGTTTAGTTATTCAAGTGAATTCTCAACCATGTCATGAAATGTCTCAATATAGTCAATGTTCGACAAATAGTGCATGTGGATGCCTTTATAGTGCAAGTTCTAATAATATTGCTATTTGTGGTTTTCTTTGGGTGACTTGTTCTGAACTTGTTTCCTGTGAATCTTTAAAAAATACTTGTTATGAGCCTAATCATACTTGTATTCATCATCCACGATGCCATAATCTTCCACTTTGTTATCCATTATTAATGAGTAATCAACAAATGTGTCCACAAACTACAAGTAAGAAAAGTATTCTCTGTCCGAACTAGTGTTTTTTTTTGACAAGAAGAAAAAATCACTGGTCCCGTTCATGTCCATAGTTGAGGATTCAATATATTGTATCTGCCTGCTTAAAAATGATTTTGTTTTTTGTTTGTATAAATGTTTACTCTTGATGAATAGTGACAAATACTACAACAGCTATGAGGACAAACATTGTAACAGCAGGTAAGTGTTTCGGTTTCTTTTTTCTCAACAGAAAAATAAAACAACCACAAAAAGCTACATCATTTTAGTGAAATTACAACGCTAAAAATGATAGAGAAAACTTAATATAATTATATTAATGTGTTGCTGGCAGTCGAAATATTTCCTATTTCATTTAGAAGAATTTTCAGCTAAAACGTTTGTTAGACATCTTGATAGCAAAAAAACAACGACAAACTATTTAATAATCGTGTTTTTCTTAGTAAAATCGGTTTAATCAGTAGGCAAAGAATCTTTAACAAATATAGATAATGTTTGAAATACAATAGGAAATTAATACTTTGAAGAGAGGAATCGAATGACTATTAGTTTAAAAGGCTTTAGTTTAGAAATTTCAATATTCCAGAGGTAACTACAATGACAACAACGTCAATACGAACAACAACAACAAAGAAACCTATTCAACAAGGTAAGATTAAAACTGAATAACTTTGACACAACAGACTGCTTATTACGTTTTACAACTACCAAAAACCTTTTGACAAATTCTTTCTATAGTATCCATGATTGTTATTTATCTAACGTTTAGAGTTTAACTAGCTCTTGAGATAAAATAAGCATCCGACATAGTGCATTGTACTCAATTCTTCTTCTAATAAAGTATATGTATTTCTGAAAGAAAATTGAACAATATTCAATTTATAGATTGTTCTGATTCGAATCTAATTACATTCGATAACATAACAAATGAACCTTTAGCTGAAGTACCTTCTAATTATATTGGCTTATAATGGAAAAAATTTTCTATAATGAATTTAACTGCTTTTCCATCCTATGATACAAGTGGTTTTTCTACAGCACTTCAAAGTGGATATATTGCATACAACAAAAATGGATCAACAATGACAATTAGTACTAGTCCACCATATGTGTTTAACTTATATTCATTTATTACTTCTTCTGCTTTTCGAAATCAGTTAAGATTAACAATGATTGGAGAACGTTCATCGAAAATATGGTATTCTGCAACATATCCATTATACACACATTGGCCACAATTAATCAAACTAAACTATTTGAATATTGATAGAATTACCTTTTCAATTATTGATTCATCAAAGTTTGCAATCGATAATTTGTGTATCTCGATGTAAGTTAATTGAATCCTAAAATAGCTCCATTTGTTTTTGCCATTTTTTTTAAACTAGTTTACCGTTAACAACCACCATGCAATCTACCACAACATGAATTGTTTTTTATTTTATTTATATTCTAGCTAAATATAATTCGTGTTTTGCATTAATTATTGTTGAATATCAATACTTTACATTTATAGTATTAGGACTATGTTGCTGGTTAATCATGTTGCAATAGTGTCATATATCGCAAAAAAAAACGAAGAGATCTATAAGATGGAATGGCATACGAAAAAAAGACTACAGAAGTATCAATTCTTGAGCGTACTCTTCTTGTGTATCTCATTTTCTCATACCTATCGGGTATTTCTGATACCCTAAATTTCTTGCGCTTCTCTAAAGAAAGGTTTGAGGTGTGGGTATGGAAGATTGAGAAGAACTGACTCACACTCACCAACACGCCACACAAATGCTTCCTAATTCTACTTCTCAGGTTACGTGCAATTAGTGTTTCAGAAGAAAAAAATAATTTGCATGTTTATGTTCATATAATGAACGTTATTTAAATTTCGAACAATCAATATTAACATAGGAGTATTCATATCCATATCAATTACTTGTCTTTTACGATTTTTCTATCTCTTAAGTATATGCTCACACTCAATCTTTGTGTTGTATGCAGTAAACAATATGTAAATTAAGACAAAATGTGCTTAAACTGCAATATTATCCAACTGTCGATTTCTTGAAAAGTATTCTTCAATTAGGAAGAAAATGATGATTAACGAAAACGAAATGCTTTAGAAGAATAAAAACGTGTCTAATATTTCTAACATATATCGAACTAATGTTATCACAGGTTTCTCCAAGGGGGAAAAAGCGGATCCTGGATCCTCGGATCCTATGGATCCTGTGGATTCTGCTGGATCCTGTGGATCCTATAGATCCTTTTGGATCCTGTGGATCCTTTTGGATCCTATGGATCCTTTTGGATTCTACTGGATCCTTTCGGATCCTGTTAGATCCTACTAGGACCTTATAAAAACTTTTTGACATTCTCAGGATCCTATTTATTAGTCAAGACCCTCATTAGTCACTCCAATTAGTTTCTAATGTCACACTGGCTCGTACAGTATGAGCTCTTAACAACTTCTACTATTATTTTTCTCACTCCCGGGTCGAAAAATGCGGGCTGATTCCTGCAGGAAAGCATCGAAAATCATCGGAAGTGGAAGCAGTATTCCCATTGGAGATTTGCTGGACTTGTTTCAGTGGATTGCAGTCACAACCGTGTGCCTTCCAGCAGGAAACGGTTGGAATTCATTGGAAAAATCCGAAAAACTTTCCGGTCGGATTACTGCTTCCAGTTCCGGCGATTTCCTGCCAGATCCCAAGTTATAGAGATGCATCAATTCCAATTCCAGTCAATCCGAATTCTTGGAATTGAAATTGACCAGGATTGTTCTGGAACTAACAACATCTGGTCTGAAATTGCCTACGATTAGCTGTTAGTCACACGCTTCGGTCCTTATCTCCTATTATATGAAGGTATCTTTAGGTACTCAAGTCCTGTTATATGGAAGTATCTTGAGATCCTCAAGAATATTGCAAGAAGGTAGCTTCAGGTCCTTATCTCCTACTATATGAAAGTAGCATTAGGTCAGAAGAGGATGTAACCATCTTAAACTTCAATACCAATACTAAGTGGCATCGATGGCATTGAGTAGTTACTTTGCACTAGAAAATCAAACTTGAAAATTTGAAAGAACTGATGATAGATTGGGATTTCTCTAACCCGCAATACTTCGATTGTACTTTATAAAAATTCCTTATATTCGAAAAAGGTCCTTTCCTAGATGAAAAAACTCAAAAAAATCGAAAAATTTTGAGAGATTGATTTTCAATTCTTCATTTTTTCGTCAAGGAAAGGCTTTTTATCGAGTATAGGAGCTTTTTAAGGTTTGATGAAAGTCTTGAACAATCTAAGAGTTCCAATCTATCATCGGTTTTAGAAAATTTCAAGTGTGATCGTCCTTTGTACACTACCGATCAGAGGTCCAACCAGGCCGCGTTTTTGCAGGCCTGACCGGCCTGTGACAGGCCTCTGCATTGTAAGCCTGCCTGTGCCTGCCAATTTATTTTTTTGGCCTGGCCTGCCTGCCTGGAATTTTCTACGGCCTGCCTGGCCTGCCTGGAAAGGCCTGTCTATTTTTCTTTTATGCCTATCCCATTACGATGATAGAATAGAAACATGTAATTAATGTTGAGAATGAAAGATCAGTTAAATTGATTTATAATGAGCAGATTAATAATTTATTTATCCAAATTTTCATAGAAAAAAGAACACAATCGAGACAGCATAATGTTAAGAAAAAAAGTTTTGATTTTGTTCAAGAATGTTTTGAATAGATCTCACAAAGAGAATATCATGTAAAGTTTGAGGATCCAAAGAAGACCGACGTTCTGTTACAACTAACCCGGCAGCCGAAAAAGATCTTTCTACAGCTGCCGAGGTTACAGGTATTGAAAACAGACGACGAGCAAGTAATGATAGGCATGGGAACTTCTGCTGATAATGCTTCCAGAAGGGTAATGGGTTTGGTATTTTGTGAATATCTTCTATGTTCATTCTTAAATATCTATCTAATTCATCATTTCTAAATGATGCTGTTGGAAGTGTATGAATATCATGAATATTACTATTATCATCTGGATCTGCGAATTGATCCTCCATTGATTTATGCTTTTTTTTTGTTGGCTCAGTTAATAGTTCATGTTGTTCAGTCTTTAAACCAAGAATTTCATCGATTTGTTGACGTATGTATGAATGTGCGATATCTTTTAAATAAGATGTAGAAAACGTTAGTTTTCGATATAATGGGTGTAGCACAACAGCGGCTAGATGTTTCTCGTCGAATATAAACATTGTGCGTAACAGTTGAAATAAACGTTTGCGAAAAAAGATCGTCCCTAATTAGAAAAAAAAACAACGACTCATATTTAGATTCAACATTATATTCTAATCACCTTCGTGACGGTCATCTATATGAATAAAATCGCCATTTTCATCAACATCATTGCCATTTAAGTGATGCTCCAATTTATTCATGGCAATGTAGGCCATATGTAACGATGGACGTGTTCCGGTTTGTACTAATACAGATACATCTTTAAATACAGATAATAGACGAATCAAATCTTTCAATCCGTCGATGTTGATTTTATTTAATTTGAATGACTGTTTAGTATTTGATGACCTAGATAATATTGATCTTAGGTGCTCGTAAGATGAATCAATCGATTCTAATAGGTTCGATAAGGATAACCAACGAACTACTGTCGATTGCTTTAAAACAACACCGCCGGCATCCTGGATTGATTTGTTTAAACCACACTGTACAAAATAGAATTTCATTGAACAAAAAAATTCGATAAAGTGCTTCTCGCGAGTTTTTGCTCACCCGTTTTACATATTTGACTAGTTGTTTACTCGTTGTGATGATATCAACTAATTCACATGCTTTTGATGGTAATTCGGAAAATGAAGTATTTGATTCTATATATTTCAATGGTGACGGTGTTTTGACTTCATCTTCTGATAAAGATTCATCGGAGGAACTTTCAATAATAAGTTTAGATTTCTTTTGTTGTCTTATTGGTGTTGTTGATGCTAATATAATTCTTTTTTTCTTTGCTGTTTCATAGAAACATCTCTTAAGGATGTTATTGATACGGTGCGCAAAACATAAAATAATCGGTTGTCCTAATATATAAATTTACATATTATATTTTGAAGGCGTTCAATCTACAATGCACTCACCTCTGAGAGCCTTGAGAATATTAGGACCACGATCACAAGTAAATACGATTTTTTTATTGTCCATGAATGATGTTAAACCATATAAATCCAATTGACAGCGAATAGCCTAGAAAACAGTTCACATTATGGACTTTATCTTTCAAATAATTTCCTTACTTGTAAAATAGAATCACCACTTTTATCTACTTCTTGATATTCACAACAGCATAAATCTATTGAAATTAATTCATAATTCTTATCTATGAAAACAGCTGTTAAACCAAGATAATTCACCTTGCGAAATTTATCAGTCCAAAGATCAGGACATAAACATAAACAATTACTTTCTGCTTGTTCTATTAATATTGGTTGTAATAGTGAACGATATCGTTCAGCTAACTGATGGACGTTTTTCGAAATTGTTGTTGGTGTTACTAAAAGATCAGTAATGTTGAGATCTTGATACTTTTTACCTAAATAGTATACAAAAATCACTCTACAAATATTCAAGAATCAAATCAAACATACCAAGATCCAAAACTGTTTGTAAAACATCTGTTAAGCCAACATCTGCCACTATGGTAAACGGACGAACAGATCTGCAAATCCACTTAGTTAATTCATCTTTCATTTTTGTTGAATCAGTGGAACTCAGCATAACTGCAGCCTGTTTTTTTGGCTTAAATAATTTATATAAAGGTCCTTCTTGAGCACCTTCTGATGATGATTGTTCTTTCGAACAAATATGGCGTAAAAGGTGTTTAGTACTACCACTACCATCGGATTGAAATGCATACGTTGTTTTACATTGAAAACAACTAGCAAAGCCATGTATGCGTTGATATGTCCCACATTTACTAAGTCAGGTCGGAAATCCAAAATTTGACCACGCTGTAGAAGATTTTTTCAGTGTATTTTCAGTCACTATATATTCTTTTTTTTTCGTCTTTTCGTTTTAACATCATTTCAATTGAAGACGTTGTAAGAGTTTGTTTTACTTGTGAACGAGGTGAAGAATCATCAATGCAGATGGAAGATGAAATATCAATATCAGCCATTTCACGAAGAACGACAAATGAAATATTAACACTGGAGTTTAAGGAAAATAACAAAGGTTTTAACAATCAATAAGAAAGATCTTGATAATAATCGATAATACGATTTTCACCAACAATCAATAATAAATATCTAAATAATAATCAATAAGAAAGATCTAAATGATAATCAATAAGAAAATTTTTTACCAACAATCAGTAAAACAATTTTAATAATCAATAAGATCTTGATAGTAATCAATAAGAAAATTTTTACCAACAATCAATAAAAGAATTTTAATAATCAATAAGATCTTGATAGTAATCGATAATAACGATTTTAATGATCAATAATAAATATCTAAACAATAATCAAAGAGAAAGATTTTAACAACAATCAGTAATAATAAAGAAGACAAATGAGAACATAAAGAGCGAATAGATAAAGAAGATGAACTATGCGATTCGAGCTGAACATTAGTCATCATTTGGATCAATCACAATGAAGATAGAACATTATTCTATACTTCAGCTGATTGCTAGCACCATCTTGAATTTGTTAAAAAAAATTTATATCGAAAAGAAAATTATATATATAAAGGATATAGACAGGCCAGGCGGCCTGGTGTTTTTAGCGGCCTGCCTGGCCTGGATGAGGGTTCGGCCTGGCCTGCCTACGATAGGCCAGGCCTCAACAACGTGGCCTGTGCCTGTGACAGGCAGGCAGGCCCAGGCAGGCAGGCAGGCCTAGTGGCCTGGTTGGACCTCTGCTACCGATTCAATACCTATAAAAAAACCATTCACATATTACGTCATCACTATTTCTTGATTTTTCGATCCCTTCCCTTTATATCATTAGTTGTAGTTTTTGCGTGATTCCCTTCTTCCCTGTATGACAAGTAACGCTCGTCTAGGGACTCGCTCAGCTCTTTCTCATCGTAATCGTGTTTCTGTGCTATCAGAAAATTACTTAGGTAAACGATTTCCAAAAAAACTAACCTTAGATTCCGGTTCCTTAACCCCGATTACCCTTCATTCAAACTTTATGGTAAATGAACCTTTTTGGTCCCAGGTCATTTTTTGACTAATCAGTGAACTGCGGACACACAAGCAATTAATCACGCAAACAATTTGTTCTTGCTGGACTCTTCTCTACGAGAAAGAGAATATCATCAGTACAATTTCTTTAGCATCTTATATAATGATAAATCATTTATTAATTCACCATTGAAACAAAATATATAAAGTATGGGACAGCATTAGATATGTTGGTTCTCGTATTTGTCGATTCCCAGGTCGAAAGTGGGCCATCGGATTCTGTCGGATCTGTCTCAATCCGATGAATTCCGATGACTGAATCCGATAGAATTCCGATTGTCGGAATCCGATCGGATCACAATTGATTCCCATAATTTCCGATGCATTCCGATTACCGGATTCCGATGAAATCCGAAGGACAGATCCGATAGGATTTATTTGTCGGAATCCAGTCGGTTCCTTCAAGTTCCGCNGAGCATGTCAAGTTCCTAAGCACCAAAACATATTACTTTCTGTACAAAGTTGTGTCTTCATTTCTATGTAGGGTTTTCCCTTTGTACAACTGTTACGTATCAAAATTTTGAATGTCGAAAATACAAGTGTTATCTTCTCGTTACTGTTACTAGTCAGTGGTAAATGATACTAATTACAACTAAGTAGTAAAGTGTATCACTTACTAGTAAGTGCTAAGTGATATCACTTATCAGTAAATGATAAGTGATACTACTATATCAGGCGAGAATTAAATGGTACTTATAGATACGTAGTTGACATGTCGCTGAGGTCAAACCATATACGTTCCATTACTGATGATTCCAACAGATATCTTTTGTGACTCTTTTTCGCCCACGAAACATCTATTTCAAAAAACATAACTGAATTTAAAAACTTGATCGAAGATTGTTGAGGTCAATGATGAATCCGAATGAATTAGTCAGTTTGTCGCAATTGTATACTTGATTATTTTACTAAAGAAAGAGTTTTTTTTTTTTTTTTTTATAAAAGTTGATTGAAGGTTCTCAGAGGACAAGCACAAGTCAGATTATTCGAAAATAAAAGCGAAGAAGTATACGGATCGAAATTGGAAGAAAATTAATTTGGCCTATTGAATATATACTATCTGATGCAGATTTTTGTACTGATTCTGAATATGATATTCATTTTTTCTTTTATAACTGAAGTTCGGATGATTCAAATCTTAGACTACAAACATACATTTATGATGTTTTGCTAACTTATCGAAAAAAACAAGCATACATAATTTTTTTTCTTAACTATACGACGAGTAACATCAAGAAAACAACACTCCAATGAATACCAAGACTACTGAGACTTGATGCTTGTGTCGTATTTCAATTTTTATAATCTTTTCTGTCTTTTTTTATGAAACATGATCTCAAGAGTAGTGTTGAAGTATATGGATAGAAATTGGCTCTGTCCCCTCTCACAGACATGACAGACATCTTACGAGTGACATATTACAGATGCAGCAGACCTCATTAGCAACGTTTCTCTTTCATTACAGTTCGTGACAGACACAACCAGAGACATGCCACAGATAATGACAGACGCTTGATCAGCACTTGTATTCCCTATGTCTCAAACCGAGGCAGACGTTTTTGATATACAATGACAGATCGCATATCAATAATGTCTTATTATAATATATGAAATACTTCCTTATTTCATTTCTCAAGGATAAAAACTAAAAGGATAGTGAAGAAAAGTGTTACAAAATAGATCGACTAAAACAAGTTCCTTGTATTTATTAATAGCAACTACATTGTTTTTTCATATTTTAATTCCATAGAGATTACACTAACAGCTTTTTAACTTAATTTTCCTAAATTTCGCTACAAAAACATTGTCTGAATGTGTCAATAATAACATTTTCATCGAGTAATTCAACGAGATTTATTTAATTATGACAATTTTGCTCAAATTTCAAAAATTGTCGAGCACTTTAAGAAAAAGATAAATAACTTTGATTTTCCTGTTTTGCTTTGAAGATAATCAATTTAATCGTTGTGTTTGTTGTCCATATTGCAATGAATATTCATTTATGGTAAATATCGAAGTTAATGTTTTTATTCTGTGTTTGAATAAAAAGACAAATAACAAACTTTAATTATTTAGGGTGAGTGGACAACACCAAAAGAATTACAAAGTGTTAAAATAAAACTTTGTTCATCATGTGGACAAAATGTTGATACAAATTATCTTATACAGCCAAATGAAAAAAAAAGACGAAGTAAAAAATTTTGTTTTTTTTTTCGATAAATTTTTCTTATTTGTTTTTTAATTAGATGAAGAACTTTTGAAAAGAATTCGAGAACGTAAAGCTAATAATACTAAACGAACTTCAAATGTTATATCATCAACAACTACAACTACGACCCATTTATTTGTACCATCAGTATAAATCAACAATATTTTTATTCATTAACTTCTGTCAATCACGCGATTGCCAACAGAGACATAAACAATCAACCATAGATAATCACGAACACTCAACAAAAGTCAAATCTATATTTAAGCATTAACTTCATATAGAATTATATATCGAATACAAGGCTACCTAAAAAAAAAACCTACAACCAATACCCACACAAACAGCTACCATCGTTAACAATTGGCCAGAAAAAAAAATGTCAGAAATTTTTCTCTGTTGCCTACTTGAATTACAAAATAAATACAGAACCAAGAATATGGTTATATATCTGATTCATAAAAAATATCGACATATCTGTTGATCTATGCATTTTTATAGTGAAGATAACTAAATAACAAATTGTTTCGGTGATTGTGAACGATGATAGCTATTCATGTGAGTATTGGTTGTGGTTATTTTTCTTTTTTAGGTAGTCTTGTATTCGACATCTAATCTCATCTAAAGAAATATTTTGAATATAAATTTAACTTTTGTCGTATAATCATATTGTTCACCAGAGTCTCATTCAATATTTTTTTTCTTTACATTTATAAAGATATGATCATATATTGAATTGTATATTTTTTATCAGACTTGCCGATGTATTAAAAAAGAGATAAAACAAAATATATATTTAAGAAAAAAAAAAAACTAGATCATAAGATATTTTAATTTTTTAAACATTTCTCACTGTCAAAATCAACATAAAATTGATATATTCTTATTAGGAAGCTTCTGTTTATATTTATTACACGAAAGGAAAAGTTAATTTGATGTCACGCAATTTCATATTAGAGTGAAAGTTAATATTAATATTGCACATTTTGCTAACATGCAAAAAAACAACAGACATTTATACCAGTGAAAATGTCGATATCTAATGGTTTTAAATATGTATATAGAAAAAAAGAAAATTAATAAATTTTTATTTCAATAATTTACATATATTCTAACAAATAGATAAACCTTCAAAAAGCATGCATAATATTTTAATTGATATTTAAAGACAAAAAAAAGCTTAAGTTTTTCTTGTATCATTCTCTATATGAATTAAATTTGTTTCTATACATATATTCTCATACATTTTATAGTTACCAAATACGTGAAATACATACTTATTACATACACCCATCGTTCTAGTGTTGTTTCTGTCATTCATAATGATTGACAATATGAAAAGCTGTTTATAGCATTAGTGGTCTGTTTTTTGAATATGTAACACATGACTATCATTGCATGATACTAATTCTACCATTGCATTCGGCTTTCCAATAATGATATAGATGACTTATGCGTCTTTTTTTCAAGTATTAGTAACAATTGTGACACTTGTCACATTAACATTTATGTTGATTAGTTAATATTAGTTCCAAAAAATAAAAGACAGGTGACGTTTTAGATATATTGACATTTCAAAAATGTCACCATAAATATTCTTTTCCAGAATTTAGTTATTTATTATTCGTAAAGTAATCTTAGTACACAATGATGGTTTTATATCATGAAAGCATATAGTAAGGACTAAATTGAATTTTTTTTTGTTCTTGTTTTGTTTTTTTATGTTTCATTTCTGTAATTTTGATAATATATGTTTACATGTATTGTTGCCCTACATTATATATGCATCATAGAATATATTTATATATGAATAACTCAGTAATAACTCTAATAGTACGTTGAATCATGTAATTTTGGGCCATATTTCTTTTAATCTTTATCCTTGTCGTATTCCTTCCTATACTAATGACACTCTGGGAATAGAACTATGTTCGGTTGAATTAGTTTCTAAATATAATGCTAATATAATTTCATTCAAAAGTGTTCTATATTTGAGTTAATCACTGTCAATTCATTGATTGTTCTCCTTTTAATGGTTGTTAATTAGAATGAAATGAAATTGGATTCTGAAGTATTCTTCTTTTTAAATGGCATACTTCAAATATGTATTTAATAATAGGTTATGTTTCGATCTATTTAAGGAAGCAAATTAAAAAGTGATGGTAAAAAATTACAATGTTTTTTTAGTGATGATTTTTGTATGATAGAAACTAGAACATAGTGAATAATAGAGTAAAAAGAAAAACTGATAGACAAAAGACTAAATCACTTATGACAGGCTGTGAAAGACCGGAGAAAAAAAAAAAGAAGAAACTGAATAGAGTTTGTAGTAGTATTATTTGTATACGAAAAAGAAAAGAATGGGAAATTGAGTAGAAAATCAATGTGTCAGCCGTTCTACTGCATGCATTATGACAAAAAAGTGAAAGAAACTAGTAGATTTTTTTTTCTTCTTTTGTCAACAAATATAATATTATTATCAATCTTATTTTGTGATCTTAGTATTGATATATAAACATCTTTTGTATTTTTCCTGTTTTTTTTTTGTTTCTTCTTCTTCTTATTTTGTAAGTTAATCGAAAGAAAATCTATTGAATCCAATAGTTTCTTTTGTTGATGAGATCGCACTTCAATTATGAAGCTCGATAATCATCTAGACATTACAAGATTGGTATGTTTGAATGTAATGAAGTGATAAGTAACGCATAAGATCCACTCGTCCGTTATTATCATCACGTCCAACAGATCTTTTCTAGTCAATGGCTTCGTCTTAATAATGTTTCAAAACGCCAAGAAAAGGAAATATATTAATTTATATTCTAAGCTCTCCAAAAATTTTTTTGGTTGCTTTGTTTTTGCATATTGTTTCGCCAAAGACAACAAAAGGACGGTCTACAATGCATGAAGAATATGGGTAAGTTTTAATAAGAATACTAATTAAGTAAGGCTTAAGACACAAATAAATAAGAGATACTATCGAATGGCTTGACAGGTCTTGTCTAATATAATAGAAAAACAAGAAGAAAATTGGAAAATAGAGATAGAAAGGAAGAGCAAACAACCACTAATCTGTGCCATTGTCAAAAAAAAACTTGTATGTTTCTTACTTGTCACAGCTCTTCTCTTTTTTCAGTATCTCAAGATTGTCAAGTAAGAACATTCAGAAGGAAGCGCATGCGATCCGCCTCGGGTATTACTATATCGAACATTTGACATAATGGCGAATAGGAAGGATGTTGAATGATGACTACGCTTTGCGTGTTTCGGCCTCTGCCGTCGTCATAGTTAGCAACTATTAATATACATATCTAACTAGAATAGAAGAAAGAACAAAACGTAGATCTTTTGTTAGATGGGATCATGTGTGAGATACAAGAAAAACAACTAAGAAGAAGAAGAAGAAGAAGAAGAGAAAAAAAACCTAGAGACATTTTCTTTTCTTGTTTATTTGATCGTTTATGACACAACATTGACAGTATACCTGATACAAACATACGCTTGGCAATTTGATTCTCCTTTTGACTTGTTGATAATGTGTACGTAATCAGGAGAATGCATTTGTTTTTATTGTGTCTTTATATATATATATATGTATGCAAAATATGATGAGCTTTTGTCATGTAGAAACTTAAAACCTTTATCAAAAAAGGAGAGATGGAAATAAAAACAAAGGAAGTCAACTCAAACAAATATTCACAATTAACTTTTGGTGTATGTGATTGTAATATCACATATTATTAAAAATAAATAAGTGATTGTTCAGAATAAGTCATTCATCATGTTATCTTATCAATACTGCGCATGCTAAAACTAAGAGAAGCAGCACTTTTTGACATCATTACCAGGTTTTTCTCGTTAGAATCATTTTTCCTTTAATCATTCTAGACCTGTATAATTGAGCATTTTTTTCTTATATCTAAGGTAAAGAAGATGTCTGATGTTTTTTTTTTTCTTCAAAGAATGCTCACATTGATAATAATGATGATAATGAGTCTTATAATTTTACAGACTTGCATAAAATAAGAAGGAAAAAAGGTCATAAATATCTTGAAATATTGCAAGATTATTTTTCACTGCATAAGTACTTCTCTCTACATTTGCCATTTCAATACAATATAGCCTTGATTGCAGTTTAAGTAATGTAGACTTTGAATAGCAAAATACCAATCAATAATTCCTCATTTTTTTTCTTCTCTTATATGACTACATCTAATCTTATCGAAGATATAAATTATTTATATGAATATAATTACTAATAATTTTTAACTGTAAAATCAAAGTAAAAAAAAAATATCATGTATACAGACAATGAATTGATGTGAGTATTTTATTTTTTTTTTAATGTTTCATTTTTTTTTGTCATTGAACTAATGCAAAAAAATTTAAACACATGTTTAGATTTTTCTATATGTTGACTTGAATAATTCGTTTCTTATGAATAATAACCTATATATAAATGATTTATTTTTCTTTCCGTAATCTTTGTTTTTTTTTTCGAAAGACTAAAATACTTTGACATATACGAAATCAAAATCAGATCACAACAAAATTGACAATATCACTGATTATCTTTGGTTTGTTTATATACATATGTCAGATATTTAGATATGTTAATTACTCGCAAACATAAATCAAAAGAGTATTACAGAGGCGGAAACTTATCGAGTAACCTTAAATGAATCTATATAAAATAAACAATCATACAAAAATATATTCATTTGTCCTTTGAAGACATTGTTAATTTGTCTAGGTGCAAATTTGTTTAACGCTTCTCGTATGATCTATGTCATATTCTTTTCTTTTATTCTTCTTTTGTTCGTTCTCTACTATCTTCTCCTATTCTTCATTGTTTATTACAATTGAGTTTGGAACTTGAAATATCAATCTTTTACGAGATTGTTACTGTCTATAGAAAGGAGTCAGACATTGTGTTGATCAACAACTAAGAAATTATTCGCTAGACCGACGTAAGTAGAATTCTATCTTAGATAATGTTCAAGTTTTTTTTTTCTCCGAGACAGTTTTCATCTCTTTCTTCATGGCTAATTCTACTTAAAGCTTGCCATAATGAAAAGAAGATTAAATTGCATTTCTGTGAGCAACATTGACTTTATTAAAATATATGAAGAAAAATAGCAACGTACTCATTTGCC